GATATGTAGTGGTGGTAGATTCTCATAAATCGAGATTGTGTGTTTAGCCCAAGAATTTCTTCAAAATTTGCAATTATGTATAATTGTGTACGTCACTCCGCATTTGATTAGTATTCTGAGAGAGAGCTCCCAGAAACAGTTCTGCGTTGAGTGCTTACAGTCGAGAGCAATACGCAGACAACGATATTGAATTCGTTCCAATTTTATTAGAATAAAGCAAAAAGAGCCATCCTCTAAAACAGAGAGAATTGTTGTTTTATAAAGCGTTGTGAGGTCTCCCGGATGAACGTAGAAAGTTGATCCTCTACTGACATTTTTGCTTCAAATACGTAATGTTGGTATTCCAAGTGCTCTTTGGATCAATCCAGACCCCAAGGTACTTGAAAGACAATGATTGGATAATGTTTCTGACCAAAAGATTAAGCTGCATTTGGGCTGGGTACCGCTTTCGAGCAAACACTACCAGTTCAGTTTTCAGCGGCGAGAATTCGATCCCGAGATTCCTACACCGAAAAAAGTTTTCATATAGTTTCCATTGGGAACGAACATGATATTTATAACAAAATTAATGATTTTTATCTGAAATTCACATAACATTCATATGATCACATGAATTCTATGTGATAAATCACATAGATTTCATTGGACACATAAGGTTCACGTGATTTTGTAGTGCGATTTCCAATTATGAGATCACATGAAAGTTATGTGAAATTCTAATTGATATTTTCCATTGGAAATGTGATTTATTTTTTGAGTGTAGCCCAAGAAGACAAAGTTATCTAAGGAATTTTGCAATAGTCCTTGCAAGTCCACGACATGTGGACCTCTTACGGAAACCACACTGTCATCTGCAAATTGTCTTAGCATGCATTGTTCTGCCAAACTGCTTTTCTGACAACAAATTGTACAAGAAATTATTTAAAATTCCAGAAAGTCTTTGATCTTCACACTTATTTGTCAAGCGACGATTTAGACGCCTGATAGAGCAGGAAGGTACATATTGTAGGAAGGGTAGCACTTGTTGCTCCCTAAAAGTACTCCTCTATAAGAATCGTCTCTATCCAGGCGAATAATGTTAAAGTTCAGTTCTTTATCGGAAGAAAGCCATGTTTCACAGAGAGCAAATATAGTACAATCAGAATTGCGAAGTAAAAATATGAACGTGCCTAGTTTAGGCACTAGACTACGGGAGTTTCACTGTAGCACAGTGATCATATCCTCGACCTCGTACGATTAATTTTCCATAGAAAGATATGATTGAAACAGTCAAGCTTAATTCCATCCATTAGAGTTTGTACAGACACCTCAGGTATCGTGCTGGCCGTCTTTGTCCATATTTGTTGGAAGTGTTTGATATATTTGATTCCTTGTTTCTTTCCAGAAAGCTTACGCTTCATCAGAGCCCAATATTTCTCGATTGGACGTAACTCTAGACATTTTGGCGGATTTGCGGGTTTTGGTCAATATTCACTTGATTTGCTTCGTACCACTCTATCACAGTTTTAGCATAATGGCATGACGCCAAATCGTGACAGAACAAAGGGGGTTTTTTTGTGGCTTTTGATGAAGGGTAGCAATCTTTTCTGCAGGCACTCTTTCTGGTAAATCTTCTTTTTGATTGTGCCTGTAGTGACGAAAGATTTCTCTTTCGGCCACACGTGCAAAATGCTTGCCAAATAAGGTATTTTTTGGAAAATTTTGATGCCTTCTTCGTCCTAAAATAGTCAGCTATAGCATATTTTTGATTAGGTGGTCTCAAATTGCAACCGAATATACCGAAATGAAAAAAAAAATGAAAACAATCATTTGAAATTGATTTTTCCTAAATGAAGACAAAATCGAAAAAAAATTAAATAGCGTAAAACAACTCAATTCTTGTACAACTCTAAATTTGATTGACTTATACTTATTAACAACATAATAGGGGTGGACACCCTAAGGTTGACATTATTTTATATGTAATAATTGCAATTAATTTAGTCACCAGTCTAGCTTAGATGTCTCTTGACTGTTACAATTTAATGTATTAAATTTTGGGTTTTAAAAAATAAAATAAAAAAGTAACTTTCGAACACCGGTCTCAGACAACCCGGGCAAGATGTGCACCCTTGGGCGGGAAGACATGTATCCTTAGCAGGATTTGTTTTTATATAATATTTTTTTCCGGGAGCACATTCCCGATGCTTATTTTTCTCTCGCAAACCCGTCGTCGTCGAATGGCAAAAAAAAGGAACTCGGTGAGCAATTTTGTGATACGGAATTTTCACTCTTTCTCGATTCTAAAACTTCTCGGAAAGCGAGAAAACCACCAATAACACACGTATAACCGACCGGGAGGCAGAGTGCCAGCGCTAATCCAGTAAATGCAGCCGAAAACTATGAAAGCGAACGAACGCACAAAACAGATAACAAACTTAAAACACAACCGTATCCAAAGGAGTTCGAAACTGCCAGGATTATATTCCTTACACACCACGAAAAAGTCATGTAAATTTCGGTTCCCTGAGAACGACACATGTAAGCGGCCCTTTTGACGTAAGAATCAGTTGAAAGAAACGAGAAAATCAATCCAATCAAATGTTCTCTTCGTCAACTTGCTTATGTTTCGGTTTGAGAACACTTAATTTTACATGAAATGGATGTTTACGTTCCATGATTTACGTCCAATATGGATTACGTCTCGTGTAAAATTAGTTATTTCTAAGTGTGTAGTTTATCAAAACAAAATTCCAGTCCAGCACCAGGTTGAAAAATATTATTGAAAGTTGTAACATACGTAACAAAAAAAGGGCTATTGATTATTGCAATTCTTATTATAAAGATAGGATTTTTTTTCGGTCGGCAGCTTTTGATACATTTCATGGTAGTTATTGAATATTTCTTTATCATTTTTGGAACGTTACATCCTATGATTATTGTTGAAAGGTATGTATGTGCAGTTTTCAAAAATATAAGATTTGTGATGTAAACTTGAAGGGTGCTCATCTTGCCCTGGTGGCGATCTTGTCCCGTCTACCCCTATGTGTTAACATCCTAATAATCAATATCAATATCAATAAATCGAGTTTAATCTCAGATAAACTTGAGCCTTGAGACTTCTTGTGGGATGCAGTACAAAGATTCAAACATAGTATAAACTCGTATTAACATAAATAGAACCATCAATATTTTGATATATTTTTTAATCTGAACATCTACATTTTTCAGGGGTGACAATTTTGACCTAAGCTTAATTTTGGACAGTTTTTTAACATCGCCACAAGCTAAGTTGATTTAAAATAAATAAGTAAATTTGACTGACTATTTTACCAACCGCACAAGGTGGTGCTGATTTTCTAAAATATTATTCAAAATTTATTTATAGGTATGGTAGATCACTACTTCGTCGTAATCGCCCATTTCCGATCTGAAAAGATGAATAATATCAATGCTTTCACCATGAACAAATCAGTAATAGGTTTGTTCCGATGCGTTAGTTCATTAGCTACAACATAAATCCTATTAGAGCGCATTGTATGAATATTAACGCTCATTGTTCTCAAAACAAAAGAAGTGCTCCTAGCGAATACCCGTTTTCTACATTTATCGGTAGGACGAAGAAAATCTTATGGCGTTAAATTTTTAACAATATCTCGACAATTTGTTACACTTGCTCAAATCCAACGGTACGTATGGAAAGGTGAATAAATTTAGAAGTCATCTTTGGAAGAAATATTATTTTTTTTATTCAAACCCATTCAAAAAAAGGGGGCAAAGCGCGGGTTGTGTTTAGTAAGACGGTAATTAGATCAAACACCATACACATTAAAAACTGAAGACAATGCAATTGGCATCAGGAAATATAGACTGCACCGTCCGAAAAATTCATGTAAATTTCTGTGAGATATAGCGCACATAAAATTAACGCTAGATTTGGCATAAATTTAAGCGATATTTCGTGTAAATTCAAACGCAATATCGCATAAATTAGAAACATTGTATGCAAGCTTGTAAACGATTTCTTTGTTTATGCCAAGTATAGCTCAAAATTAAACGAAGAGAGATTTTATGCGGGGGAAAAGTTGGCTTCGGCAATACCTTAACCAATTATCGTCAGGGGGGTAAACAAAGTCCTAGAGCACTCAAATTTGGCCAATAGTTGCTCTGAAACACAATGTATCCACATGCCAAAATTGAGCTCTCAAGAACGTTGTTTACCCCCCTGACGATAATAGGTTAAGGTATTGCCGAAGCCAACTTTTCTTCTAGTTAAAATTCAGATTTTTTTTCTGTGTGGGAATGGTCTACTATCGCAAGTTTTCAGCGGTTCCAATAATCAATTGCGTCGTGTGTTAATATACATACTGTTTTATTAACAAGTGAAGCATATCGTGCAATATAGATTATAAGATATAGGGGAACATGCATTAAGTACGCCACGCGAAATTTCGAGAAATTCAACTTCCCCCTCCTAAAGCATTGCTTGTTGCACAGTTGTAAACCCCCATCCTTCCAAGATCGTGACGTACTTAATTAATGATGCCCATAGATGATTGTTATTATTATTACTATGTACAGGTTTTGATTGAAATAATTTTCAATGTTCCATCAACATTCATGTGCTGATTATGAGTGTTTTGTACCAAATTTCTGTGTAGTTCCATCCTTCCTTAATGCATGTATGTGTGTATTACGCAAGTAGTAATTTGTTACGCGCCTATTAGAGCTACGTGTTCAATCGCTTCCATATTATCGTTCCACTCAAAAAAAAAAAATCAATAAGAATTTACCAAATAACGCTAGTAGCTCATTCGAAAAAGAAAGAATACAATATGCTAGAATTAATCAAACGCAGATTTCAGTAATTCGTATTTTGTTGCATGAATATAATTCACTTGAACACTGCTTATAAGTAGAATTGCTTGCAGTTTCGTTTGTTTTAGATTTGTTCTGTAAACATATCTCGAGTATTAATTGATTTCTTAACTTTTTCATTCGCCATTCCCTGAACCGTAAAGGTGGTAGCTACTTTGGTTGTGATCAGCATCTCAACGCCTATCTTTGCCACGGTAATCCTACCGATCGGTATTCTCTACTATGCCGTGCAGCGCTTCTATGTGGCCACTTCGAGGCAGCTGAAGCGTCTGGAGTCCGTGTCGCGTTCTCCAATCTACTCGCACTTTGGTGAATCTATCCAAGGAGCGCAAACCATTCGAGCTTATGATGTTCAAGACAGGTGCGTTGTTGTACCGTTATAGCTTACATTCGGGAAGTGACCTCTAACTCTTAACAATTGTAGATTCATCATCGAATCGGAATCACGCGTGGACTTCAACCAGGTTTGCTATTTCCCGAGCATCATCGCCAACCGCTGGCTGGCCGTTCGGTTGGAGATGGTCGGCAACCTGATCATTCTGTTCGCGGCACTGTTTGCTGTGCTGGGTCGTGAAACTATGAACCCTGGCTTGGTTGGCTTGTCCGTCTCGTACGCTCTACAAATCACTCAAACTCTGAATTGGTTGGTCCGAATGACATCGGATGTCGAAACGAATATCGTAGCAGTGGAACGCATCAAGGAATATGGAGAAACAAAGCAAGAAGCCGCATGGGAACTGCCGAATAGCAATTTGCCACGTGATTGGCCGGAACAAGGTCGTGTCGAATTCCAGGATTTCCAGGTTCGCTACCGAGAAGGACTGGATCTGGTGCTGAAGGGCATCACATTCACCATCGAAGGTGGTGAGAAATTCGGAATCGTTGGTCGGACCGGTGCCGGAAAGTCCAGCTTGACGTTGGCACTGTTCCGAATTATTGAGTCGGCTGGTGGAAAAATTGTCATCGATGGCCACGATATTTCCCAGCTGGGACTGCATTCGCTGAGATCGCGATTGACGATTATCCCGCAAGATCCTGTATTGTTCTCTGGGACACTTCGAATCAACTTGGATCCGTTTAATATCCAATCGGATGAGGAAATCTGGAAAGCACTGGAGCACGCCCATCTTAAGTCGTTCGTGAAAGGTAGTAATACCATCAAATGCGTACAATTTCAAGAGTTTTATAATGCTTTGAATGCTTTGTAGGTCTAACGGCCGGTATCAATCACGAGGTGAGCGAGGGCGGCGAAAACTTATCCGTTGGGCAACGTCAGTTGATTTGCCTGGCCAGAGCGCTACTGCGAAAAACTAAAGTACTTATTCTGGATGAAGCTACTGCCGCCGTAGATCTGGAAACTGATGATCTTATTCAGGTTGGTTTTTGATTTTAAGTTTTTAACGTCAAGGGCTCTATACATTTACTTTTCCAACAGCGAACGATCCGCACCGAGTTCAAGGAATGTACGGTATTGACGATTGCTCACCGTCTCAACACTATAATGGATTCGGACAAAGTTATCGTGCTCGATAAGGGACAAATTTCCGAGTTCGCTGCACCAAGCGAACTGCTACAAAACAAATCGTCAGCTTTCTACAGCATGGCCAAGGATGCTGGACTAGTGTAATTATTTGTTTTTCCGTTTATCTGTTTTTGACCAAATTTCCTTTTTTCGTAACTCGATAGTTAGGATGAAAAAGTGCTAACATCTTAATCATAACGTTTTTCGTTTTGATCATTTCTGTCTGCTACTAATAATTTCTCGTCGTCATAAATATTAACCGTGATTCGTTCAGGCATTTATTTCCAACGCTGGAATAGGCTTATAAGCAAATATTTAAGCATCCAATCCATAATGTACTTATCAAGCGGGTATAGAACATTCAGTATTCGAAATCCCCTTTGTAGAAAAGGAAAACCAATCTGTAAAATTGGCTGCAGAACCGAAACATCATACTTAATATCACACTTACAGCGTATACCTAGGTTACGTGCATGATATTTTAACGTGTTATACTTAAAGGTGATACTTAATGTTATGAACAACATACATCTCAATGCAAAATCACACACACACACACAAACAGAACGATACTACCTACTACAAACATCAAGCAACACTAATCACAGTGTGATATCGTTCTTGGTTGGTAACATTTGTAAAATGTGTTCAAAGCAGTCCAGGCATTACATTCAGCTTATACACTAGGGTTCATAGTAAAACCAATTCATATAGTCTTTCTCACTTTCTATTCCGCTAGCAGAAGATGGTTAAGAATGAACAAAGAAGTAACTTGATGATACAAGAAGAAATTAATGTTGGTTCGGCTGCAGGATGAAGAAAGTTACATTTTCTCAGGAAATTCCACTACATTTCTCAATTGCGCAGGTTGCCGTGGGTAAGCAAAGCACCCATCGACAATTGCGTAGAAATCGCGTACTTCAACGAGCAATAACGGAACGTGTTACCATAATATTGTCTCGTAGTTTGAGTTTGATTTTAAAGTGCCTTTGTGAAAGCATTACTATTATGTTTTAGATGTAGTGAAAGAACAAAATACAAAACTGTCTCGTAACAAAATATACATTAATATACATTTGTTTTACGGCAACCACTGTGTCTATATTGAATGGAAATAAAGAATCTTTTTCGCAAAATTACTATGATTTTGTCTTTGCCTACACTACCCATAATTGCATGACTGTCCCATGTGAATACAAAATCAAGCGAAGATGGGTCTGATATGCGATTATGGTTTAGTATTCAGCTTCACTAACAGTTCAGTGTGTCACGTTTTCGGCATAGTGTCAGTGGTGTTAACATTCTTTTCTATTTTTCAGGAAATCTCATTGATTTACGGATTTTACGTTAAAGACTGCTGCACTCCTTAGAACTATATTTTTAGGTAGAATAATAAATAAAGATTTCCTTTTGAAAACAACATTTTTTATTGCATTAAATAACTATTTAGGTGGGGCAGTGGTTAACATCCATAATTCTCGCGCCAAAGTCACGAATTCAAATGTCATCCCCGGACAATTCACGAATGACCCAGAGAGTTAAGGCCCAAACGCAATGTGGGCGGAAGCGGAACGGAAACGGAAAGTTTGACAGTTGTCACTAATGACATCAAGATGCCTAACCGAAGTCGATTTGGATCTAACTAGTTTTCAATCCAACAAGTAGGCTTACTCAGATTGGGCTTTTCCGCTGCCGTTCCGCTTCCGCTTCCGCCGTCATTGCGCTTGGGCCTTTAAAGTGACTATACAAAATTGATGAAATTTAGGGTTTGGGTTCCATTTTTAATGCAGATTACGAATATGCATTTACCTCAATACCCTTAAAGAACCCAATTTGCTCGTTTCCTTCTACCGCCGTGTGTGAGCGTTGTCTCACGGGCTGCTTGTCATGAGAAAAAAAAGAAGAAGATTATCCCACTTATTCTGCGAGTCACGTGACTCTCTCTCACCGGTGAGGTGACAATTGTCACCTCGTGTGAGGTGACTCTCCATGCAAATCAAATGGAGAGTCACCTCACACGAGGTGACTATTGTCACCTCACCGGTGAGAGAGAGTTACGTGACTCGCAGAATAGGGGGGTATATCATTATTGCTTTCCACTTCTGATATAGCGTTATCATTCGGTTCGTTGATCGCTTGTCATTTTGTCATTTAGAGATATTTTTGATTCCTTGATTACCCGTATAAATGCGAACCATTGCTTGATCTTACCACAAATGGTTAAAAAATGTTTATAATCCCTGCTAAACTTTAACTAAAATGGTTATGGAACTTTACATGAACGTTTGTGTGATAAAGTTTTAATCTTATGCATTATGTTTTTTTTGGACATGAACCTTATAAATAGTGTTTTGTTAAGAACCATTACCATTTAAAATGGATGTTTTCTCCATACATTTTCGGAAAGAACACTCTATTAGAACCTTTTTACTTATGGTTTGAGAATTTTAATGGTAATGGTTATGGTACACTGAAACAAATCGACACGTACCGTTTATTGGATCCATCACTTAAATACTATGACTGCCATATGTAATGATTTCAATCGTAATTTCACATACTTAGTACTTGATAATACCATAGAGGTAACTCTAAGACCAGAAGGTCCCGAAGAAACGAGCTCAACTTTTTGACTCAGCTCTGGTACTATCTTCGGTCCCAAGCAAATCGATGCACCCCTCGAAACATAGGAAAATCCATGAACCCCTAATTGTATCTGTCAAACTTTCATAGCGAATCAAAACAAACATAGTGTAGTAATAGAATTTCGACTATAATAGGGCATGTTAATCGATTTGCTTGGGACCAATAGGCTAGTCAAGTAGTGAGCCAATTTCAAATCGATAGTTTCGTATTGATTGTTAATGAAAATGATATGATTGAAAATATGTCAGGTAAATTATATATGAATATCTGATACATTTGCAATGCTGATAAGTTGCTAACCACGCTCGAAGCAAAGTATTATCAAGTACTAAGTATGTGAAATTACGATAGAAATCATTCCATATCGCAGTCATAGTTTTTAAGTGATAATCCAATGGAATCTATCAAGCATCACTTAGAATGAATAAATCTGCTGACATTGCTTTGTTATAAGATGGATCCAATAAACGGTACATGTCGATTTGTTTCAGTGTAGTCAGTAAGGTATGGTGCAGGTAAAATTTAGAATATGCAATTTACTCAAAAGTAACTTATTGGGCTGAACTAGAAATACTCAGAGGGAGAGATAGGCGGAGAAAACAAAATACAATTCGGCAGCAGGGATTTGTATCTAAATTATCTTGCAACCCTTGCTAAAACTTAGCATTTCACATGACTTTTACTTTTGATTCGATTTACGTGTAAATTAATAATTGATTGCATCGCAATATTTTGCACATTTTTTGGTGCCATTAACTAACCAACTAAGATCAATTAATCAATAGAGCTAGAATATTGCTTTTGATTCCAAAAACTAGTTAAATTTGAGAAGCACACGAAACATAAAGGTGATTGAATTTCTGTTCGAATGCAATACTCTCAAATTTAATCTAGTAAGAATAAGAAATCCTCGGAAAAAATCTAATGGGAATGTTCGTTTGGCTCAGATTTTGACAAACAATCTTAAAATGCTTTTATTTTGCAAATGGAGCATTTTATTTAATTCTGGTTGCTGCTACAGTGGTAGAAAAGCTGAAATCTATGCATACACCTAAAAATCTGAAAATAAATTATTTTTTCTATATTATATGTCTATTGAGAAGTCCTTAAGTTTTCTACTAACGTAGCATCAACCAGATTAAAATAAAATGCTTCATTTGCAAAATAAAAGCATTTTAAGATTGCACTCGTATACCTCACCGTGTAAAATTTTGAAATCATCATCACACTCATAGTTCTTCTATTCTCCACGAGTGCCAACTTTGATTTGCCAATATCGTTGGGTCGAATCTCTCGTTCCTTTTCGACCTAGTGTGTACACTGATAAATTGAACTATTCCCATTTTGCTTGAAATTTAATCAATTTGACATTACACTCAGTTTAATCATATCGAATGATTAAAAATTAATCCTCTCTTTCTAAAAAATAAGCATCTGATATTAATCCCAGTTTAATCATGGTTGATTAGATTGTAGATAATCTTTTTTTGGATATTTTTTAACCATTTTTGATTCTATTTTAAAAAATTTTGATTGTATTTTAATCTTTTATTATTATATATCAGTATTGAAAAAGAATAAAATTTAATACTGGAAAGATTATTTCGATTTTAATCATGCATGACTACTGTCGAAGTAATCATGGCTCGGACTCAATAAGGTGAAGCGGGAAACTGCATTGGCAAATCAAAGTTGGCACTCGTGGAGAATAGATGAACTATGAAAGTGATGATGGTTTCAAAATTTTACACGGTGAGGTATACGAGTTCAATCTTAAAATGCCGTTATTTTGCAAATTGAGCATTTTATTTAAATTTGGTTGATGCTACGTTAGTAGAAAACTTAAGGACTACTCAGTAGATATATAATATAGAAAAATTAATTTCTTTTCAGATTTTTAGGTGTATGCATAGATTTCAGCTTTTCTACTACTGTAGCAACAACCAGATTTAAATTCAACGTTCCATTTTCAAAATAAAAGCATTTTAAGATTGCACTCGTATACCTCTCCGTGGAAAATTTTGAAACAATCATCACTCTCATAGTTCTTCTATTCTCCACGAGTGCCAACTTTGGTTTGCCAATACTTTTTAAGCTTTTTTGATTTAATTTATCTTTGAGTGTACGTTTTTGCGAATTTGAGTGAATGCTACTCAAATATGAGTTATATTCAGTGGCTGTGTACCTAACATGTGCTCGAACATATTTCCCAACTCTATGCTATCTGAAAAATCCAACTTTACACGGAGAAAAAATACTACCCAATCTTTTTACTTGCACTCTTTATTGTTGTCGCGTCGCAATAAAAAGAACCTATGCGTTGAAGTTAAAATGTAATCAAATGTACTTATAGTAATTAATGCGTTTTGGAGTAGTACTGACGGTAATTAAAATTGTCTATCCGTAATTAATGTAATTAAAAGTATTGAAAATGTAATTAATGTACTTTAATTACAAAATTTCAACTGTAATTAATGGAGTTAAGAAGTAGTTAATGTTCTACATTGTGTAATTAATGTAATTAAAGCAGTAGTTAATGTAATTACTTTAATTATAGTCGTTGCCTGCGTTGGAGTTAAAGCACAGACAAACAGACATAACACATTGAATATTTCTCACTGTAAAACATCGTCGCTAAAACATTACCGCCATCTGTTGAGGACACTGTGGTGGGTAGTACGCTGAACAGATGGCGGTAGTGTGTAAACGTCAAACTCAAGAAAAATGGCTATGCGCGCCACAGGTGGCGGTACTACCAACTACGATACTTTTAAATTGACCGTTAAATGCTTGTTCGATGAACAACTTGCTACTGTGATGTCTGTTTGTCTGTGGTTAAAGGCTTTTGCGTGCCCTAGACTTTTGACTAGTTTGTCTAATAGCGAATTTGTTTATTATCGGGGTTGGAACCAGTTCCAACCCAGTGCGAAACCGAACTTTTTGTCAGTGCGAACGTTAACCTGAGGTAGGTTTTAAAAACAAACGATCAAACTGACGTTTGTCAGGAAGCAAGCAGAGTCGATCTTGATACCCGATCCAGGTTGGAACTGAATAATAAACAAATTCGCTATAATGTTATCAAAAATTAAGAAGCAAAACTACCCAACAGGAGTAGTAAAGTGTGGGAGCCCAATGTTGAGTATAATAATAGTTACCTACTTTTGGGTACAACTAACTTACTTTTGGTTAGAAAGGGAGTGGAAAATTCCAAGTAAATGAAAACTACTTTGACCCGCTTTACTGACTTTTGGCTTCCTGATGCACTATAGTGTCAAGATGAGTAAAAAGAACATTGGGGACTTTTTTCTTACCGTGCAGGTACTCGAATTGAGCATGACATTTCGGAGCACTTCGACTTCGAGCTTTCTCGCTTTTATTTTTGTATATGCTGTCGATTTACCCTGAATAGTTCGTTTTATGCTACGACGCCGACGACGCTTAGTAGCAATATTTAAATATATGAACACGCTAGTACAGGTACTGTTTTATCATTTACAGTAGATTACCATTTATCTTCACATAGTTTTATTTTACAGAAGCCTAAACCTTTGGTAACACCAAAGATCTGGAAACGAGATGAAATTCTCACATTTTTGGACATTTTTGAATCAACCTTCCATGCATCGGTATCGCATCCGTTCGACTCCGAAACGGACATGTGGAAATGCATTTCCGATAAACTACTAGAACAGGGCATAACTGCATCCGCTCAACATTGTCAAAATAAATGGAACTTTCTGTACAAAACTTACGTGAACAATCAAAATCGACAGGGTGCTTTTTACGCAAAGATCAAGCAAATAGTCGAGTTTTCAAAAGAACTCAGTGATCAGCAGGATGAGCCTGAGCCCGTCACTAGCGAAGAACAGCAGGATGTGGAGACTGAAATTATAGAAGACCTTGAAACGGACACCTTTATGAAGCAGGAGGACTTTAGTCATATTGAAGGGCAAGTGGCGGAAGTATCGGTAGAAGAAAGTTTTGAAGAACATGAACATCTAGACGAAATAGCTACTTCAAACATACCTGACCGTCATCCCGATGTGCAGTGTGATAACCGGAATAATTTAATTGAAGTGGAAGTATCAGCAAAAAAGAGAAAACTATCCAGTAATGTAGATAATTTTGAACAGAATACTAGTGTAAAAATGGACGAAAATGTAGATACAAAGGATATTCTTCTCACAATTCTGAGTAGAATTGATGCCATTCACAAGGAACAAATTGACCAAGGACGTCGTTTGGAGATCATCGAAAGGCGACAAAACGAGAACAGGCAGATATTGTTAAATGTAAAGGAGCATCTTGAATTAAAGTAATCTTGAGCTACTTCCAATTGTACTGAGTTTATTCTTTGAAAAATCCTTTTTGCAAAATGCAATTGGCAAATCAAAGTTGGCACTCGTGGAGAATAGACGAACTAAGAAAGTGATGATGGTTTCAAATTTTTCCACGGAGAGCTATACGAGTGCAATCTTTTAATGCTTTTATTTTGAAAATGGAGCATTGTATTTAAATCTGGTTGTTGCTACACTTGTAGAAAAGCTAAAATCTATCCATACACCTAAAAATCTGAAAAGAAATTATTTTTCCAATATTATATATCTAATGAGTAGTCCTTAAGTTTTCTACTAACGTAGCTTTAACCAGATTTAAATAAAATTCTCCATTTGCAAAATAAAGGCATTTTAAGATTGAACTCGTATACCTCACCGTGTAAAATTTTGAAACCATCATCACTTTCATAGTTTATCTATTCTCCACGAGTGCCAACTTTGATTTGCCAATACATTATTATGTTTTTCTTTCAATCCTTATGTGCCTGACGGAGTACCCACTCGAATAGCATGGTGTAGAAAAAAGCAAAAGGTCATCACGCACATAAGAGCTTAAATATTCTTGTTTGAGTCGATTCGAAGTGACTCCCATATTGTTTTCTCGAGTCCACAAAACTTTCATGTTAACCAAAAAATAAAGTCTTGGACCTCAGCTTTCAATGAAGAAAACTGCTGAATTGCGCTAAAAATAAACCCTCAGAACTTTTTTTTTTTCGCTCAGGCTAGAGAAATACAAATTAATCATTTTCAAAGGTATATCACTCTAGAACTTATCATCGGTAGAAACATTTCAATTTTTGTACAAATCCGTTCATAAAAGTGACATATTCGTAATCTGTATTCAAAATGGAGCCGAATTCCGAAATTTCATCTATAGGGTTCTTGAATTTTGAATAATATATCGGTCACTATACATAATCTCAAAGGGCTTCGTTTTCTGAGTAGGTATGACGAGATATATTTTTTTTTCAATCCTTTTTACTTCCATCTTGATTTTCGAATCACGATTTAAGCCTGGTACGCAGCTGAAAAGTAATGACGTTTTTACGTGCTACGGGATAGGACACGGAATGCTAAAGAAATTTCTTTTCCTTACACGCAGAAAAATGGATTTTTGTTTCAGGGCCTAATGTATTTTGTTCTTGATTCAAACATATTGTATCACTATTTCAACAATACATATTTTTGAATCAACAAAATAGTTTGTAGAATCAACAAACAGATTATTAACTCTACAACCGGTTTGTTGATTCAAAAATATTTTTCTTTGAATTAACCGAATAATATATTTGAATCTATGCCAAAAATATATTAGGCCCTGAGCCAAAAATATATCCATTTGAATTTAAGAATCATTTCTCTGCGTGTAGCATTTCTTGACCCAGTACGCAGTTCAAAAGAAATCGGTTTAGGAAAGATCGATTACATTAGTATCGTGATCGACATGAAGGTGGCGCATTCTGAATGCAATTTCACTTTCCTTGCGGAATAATGGTCTGATCAATTATTCCGTTAGGTAATGTTGGCGTTTATTGCAAAACTGATCTTTTGGATGCATTTAAACAACAAAAACACTAATAAGTGTTGATTTTATAATTTGACCACATCTCCCTATAATCTAAAAATTTAGCAGCCTATAGCTGTCAAATTTTCTTTTGGGAAAAATCCACAAAAATTACTTTTCCGTTTTCTTTTCAGCTGCGTACCAGGCTTTAAAGCAAAATAATCACATCACTGTTTGACACAAAACTAACAAAATGACAGCTTGCTCCCATACAAAGTACCGTCGAGGGGCACTAAGATCACCGACAAACCGACATGAATGACCATAGCCAGTGCTGCAAAATTTCGGCAATACACGGTGATACTCAAAATTCTGCTTTGGTCACTCGTTTGAGCTAACAGTCATCGTCAAGGCAAACCATGTCAATTGTCTTAGCATTTTTGTCAGTGACGAACATGTGCTGATTTGTTTATTAGCTAAATTTGAAATGAAATTAAATGGCAAGAGCAAAACAATTATATGGAGCCATTAAAGTGAATAAGCATCTACGTCCTGAACTGCTTGGATAACAATAATGTGACTCAGAATGCAAGAAATTACACTTTCTGTTACCAGGTGAATCTTTGTCATTGACGAAAAAATGAATGAGATTTTGAAAAAGATTTTTTTGAGGATCAAGTCTATCATTGACTATGTGAAAAACAATTTTGTCAATATCGCGCAAAAGTCTGTCAATGACAATGACAAATCTCAGCACTGACCATAGCAAAAAGATTAAAATTTCTGACCAAAGCACACTACTGACATCTGGCTCCGTGTTCGCCGGAAATATTTGGCTTTAGCCATGAACCCGCATGCAAAAACTATGAATTGGTTCGTGTCTGACCTATTCTGGACAAATTATTTTTATTTAGGCTGTGTTCCATTTGGTGAATTTTTACTTAAATTTGACAGATGGAAAATTTTCAAATAAACCTGCTATTCCAGCAGACTTATTTCTGACAGACAAGGAATCAATTTTGACAGACGCTTTCTCGAAAATCGGCCGATCAACAACAAAGGGATTTTCGAACATCTTAATTTATTTTCGAAGTGTCAAATCTAAGTGAAAATTTTCCAAATGGTACACAGCCTTAGATCAAAAAAACCTAAAGTTTTGACAGTTCGGATCACTGCACATTTAAATCGGCCGTTTACAATTTTCGGACATAAGTCAGAATTAAGTCATGTCGGTTTGTTGGTGCTAAGATTCCGATTTTTGCTAATGTAATCACACTTATTTAAAATAGTTCCAGTGCTCCATCATTGACGAAATTGTAGATTTCGGTTCCATTTGTAATGCTTATTACGGATATGCAATCACCTCGGCAATCACCGATAAACCGACATGACACTTAATTCTGACTTCCCAACTAACAATTTTCACAATGTAAACGCTTTACTCATTTCATTTATACAGCCTCAAGCTGTATTCAAAAACGTTATACGATATGAGGCAACCTTTACTCAACCTCTACAAGGAAATCTGGCGAACTTAGACAGCTAATTATGGCTGTTGAGACGGGTTGGGACAAGCTCTTATTGCATTTTTAATTACGCTTCTATACGGCTGTTATCCTGCTGTTAAGTTGTGTGTGAACTTGAAAGGCGCTTAGTCAACATTTTCCTGGTTATCCAATAATCACTAAACAGCTTTCTCTTAAAGCCGGGTAAAATATTCCCAACAAACAATTGAGAGCTCTTATAAAACACCTGAGTTGATCAAACGTTGAATAATAGCTTCCAGAGTTGAACAAGAATGTAGTTGTATTGCCATTTGATTAAAAGTTTTAAAAGCTATTGGAGCATTCTTAAATGATTGTTTACGTTCGGTTTAACTATATGCTTTATAAGACCTACGATAACTTTTATAGCACCTTAGTTAAACTGATTTACAAGAGCTATACAGAACGTGGAATAAACGCATCAAAACAAACCATTGGGAGCTCTTATACAACACCTGAGTTGATCAAACGTTGAATAATAGCTTCCAGAGTTGAACAAGAATGTAGTTGTATTGCCTTTTTGGTTAAACGCTTCAAAAGCTGCTTGGAGCACTCTTAAATGATTGTTTACGTTCGGTTTAACTATTTGCTTTATAAGACCTACGATAACTTTTATAGCACCTTAGTTAAACTGATTCACAAGAGCTATACAGAACGTGGAATAAACGCATCAAAACAAACCATTGGGAGCTCTTATAAAACACCTGAGTTGATCAAACGTTGAATAATAGCTTCCAGAGTTGTACAATAATGTAGTTGTATTGCCATTTGGTTAAAAGCTTCAAAAACTGCTTGGAGCACTCTTAAATGATTGTTTACATACGGTTAAACTGTTTGACAGGAGCCATATAGGATGTGGAATAAACGCATCAAAACAAACCATTGGGAGCTCTTATAAAACACCTGAGTTGATCAAACGTTGAATAATAGCTTCCAGAGTTGAACAAGAATGTAGTTGTATTGCCATTTAGTTAAAAGCTTCAAAAGCTGCTTGGAGCACTCTTAAATGATTGTTTACGTTCGACCAATCACCAACCACAATTTTGTTGCTAAAAATAGCACAAGTGATAGGCACGTTTATATGACCATAAGGCAATGATTATTCGACTTCGAGATAAGTCACTCAAGATGAGCTTCATATACTTCTCTCATATGATCAAAATATGTATTCAAGAATAGAGCAGATGGAAACAGAAGCGGCTGGCAATCCGGGATCATGAGTTCGAATCTTGCTTCGAGAAACCCTCGGTTGGAGTAGAGGTAAATTATATATCGGTGTTATTAATAAATGCAAACATTAATTTAAGACATATATCATATAATCAACGATAACATTTCTAGATAAATTCTCTCAATTAATGATTAGAGAGATTAATTGAAAGAATATCAATCAAAGATTAAACAGATGCTTGTTACTACTTCCTCGATGATCACAGAATGTGAATTATGGCATAATTACATATTTTTTCAATGTGCACAAATAAGTTAAATTAATAAAAACTGTACAAGCAATTATTTTGGCGTACCACGACAATTGTTAAACTAATTTTAATCTGTGAATATTGTGAGTACTTACACAACTGTTATTAAGGAGTCATTGAAAAGTGCTATAAACGCTTTTCACCGCTTGCTGTGCAATGATTATTTAGGAGTCATAAAAGAGTGCAACAAACGCCTCGCAGGTTTACTCTCTACTAAATTTCAAAGCAGCTGTCAAGAAGTGTCTACAAACGTTGTATAAGAGCTTTCACCAAAATAATAAAGCTTGAGTTTAGATATGCATCTATAAACGTTGTATAAAAGTTGCTTCTATCCGGTTGTTAAGGAGTCATTGAAAAGTGCTATAAACGCTTTTCACCGCTTGCTGTACAATGATTATTTAGGAGTCATAAAAGAGTGCAACAAACGCCTCGCAGGTTTACTCTCTACTAAAT